TAATGATGATAACAATAAAAGAATGATGTCTCTAAAGCAGTATTCTCTTTATAAGAATTTAATGTTTAACTCATAATGAACCACCAGTAGATAACTTTTTTATTCTACTTTTTTTTTTCTGGTACAGAAAAGTACCTCTGATCTAGTAATATTTGAGCATTTCTTCAAGGTCAAGTATAATAACTTGTAAAGCTTGAATTTGAAAACAGGTACTTAACACTGTGGCCTTAGATAATCTACTGCCGAGGTCTTGGCTACAGGATTAAATATTTTGCTTGGATATGCAAAAGAATGGCATGGGGTTTTAAGGCTTCAGTTAGAGAATTTATATTTTGCATCTAACAACTATTTTTTTTCATTCCAATACATAGTAAGTTTTTGCTAATTTTTTGCCCTAAGTATCATGCTGAATAATGCCTAAGGAATATTGTTAGTTGAGACTTGGCAATTTGCATAGATTTGCCACTGTATTTTTTCCCTTGGGCAATGTATTCAACCAGGGACCCACAAGGAAATTCTTCCCCCAGTTCTTCAAACCTTTATCCAGAATGACTGTTGATATTGCTTTACAAAAGGCTTCTCAGGCAATTATTAATCATCTGGAAACCCACTGCTTTAGAAGATCATGGTCACTCAAAATATGGAATTGTTAAGAAACCTATGTGGCCTGTTTTTTTTTTTTTCAAATAAAACTATGTTAAACTGATGTGGGAGTGATTTCTTATTAATAAAGAAACTGCCTAAGCCCCTTGATAGGCCAACCCTTAGGTGGGTGGAGTAAACAGAACAGAATTCTGTGAGAAAGAAGCTTAGTCAAGGAGTCGCCATGATTCTCCCACTCCAGATAGACGCAGGTTAAGATCCTCCCTGGTAAGCCACCTCGTGGGCTACACAGAATATTAGAAATGGGTTAGAACAATATGTAAGAGCTAGCCAATAAGAGGCTGGAACTAGTGGGTCAGGCAGTGTTTGAAAGAATACAGTTTCCGTGTAATTATTTCTGGGCGTAAGCTAGCCATGCGGGCGGCCGGGTGCTGGGGACGCAGCCCTGCCGCTCTAATCTCAACATTAAATCTTTATATCCATAGTCTGTCAGTCTAGCGTGTACCATCTTAGAACTCAGACAAATTTGAATATCTCAGTTTTGAAGTAAGTAAGTTTGTAGCTCTATCAAATGAAAACGTCCTCACACAGATTTAATATTTTTAAAGAAGATTTAACATAATCCGAATGAAAAAAAATCAGGCTCTAGATTAGTATACTTTGCATTTGCTTGCTGTAATTTTAAATATCTATGCTGTGGTAATACTTCCCTTTCCAGTGAAGAATCTCAAAGGTCTTAGTAAATATCTACCTGCTACTATTTTCTGTTCAGCAAGCCAAAAATGATACCCAAATGAAGTAGGCAAAGAACAGTCACACAGGAACTGTCAGTAAAAAAGTATGTCTAGCATCTTTTAAAAGGCTGTAGTGGTTTAAATAAGAACGGCCCCCATAGACTCATATAGGTGTGACCTTGTTGGGGTAGGTGTGTTCTTGTTGGAGACAGACTATCATTGGGGGGTGTGGTCACTGAGATTTCAAAAGCCCATACCAGCTCCCCTCCATCTCTACCTCTCCCTATGCCTGTCTGTGGATCAGGACATAAATTGTTCAGCTATTTCTCCAGTGTCACCATGTTCCCAGACATGATGGTAATGGACGAAATCTCTAAAGTGTAAATAAGTCTACAGTTAAATACTTTCTTTTATAAGAATTGCCTTAGTCATGGTGTCTCACCACAGCAATAGAATGGTAACTAAGACAGATGCCCACTAGAGTCATTCATGAGGATTGTCATGTGCTGCCCTTGTTTCCCCATTTAGGCCACACTAAGCTAGCAAACGTTTAGAAGGCCGTAAGAAGCAAAAGTTCACTGAAGACACCTATTCATCTTCAGGACTTTCTGTCAACTGACTATTTTTTTTTTATTTTCTCTGCTTTATTCTTTCTGTGACCAACCTTGCCATTGCTTCTTGTTCTTTGCTCAATCCCCTTCTTTGGCAGTCCTTTTTAGATATAGGACTCATTCAAGTTAACTTTTAGTATCTGCCTTCAAATAGTTCAAAATTTTCATTGGTGTAATGAAAATATTATTAATGTTATTGTTTGATATTTAATACAAGAATAAAATGTGCTCTGATTACACTCTGTTTAAGTCCCTCTATCTCCCTTTTATTGCTGTCAATTCTCCCTTATCCCTACATATCCCTTTTCAAGGCTCATGATTGGCTTTGTTTTGTGACCCAGTTGGTCTAAGTGTGATTATTTATTTGGAAGTGTCCATTATAACCTAATGGTGTCACTAGTAGGTCCATAACTCAAGGTAATCATTTGTCACTCTACGAATCCACAATTAACTAATCGTTTATGAGTGGGAATGGGGCTCTCTTCTCTGTCCATGCCTGACTGTTGATGGCAAAATGGAATTCAGCATGTGTCTGTAGATGTTATGAGTTCATGATTGTAATGACTACTGCTAGCCCAGGAGTTGACATTTCATAGCCCTTCTTCCTGTCTTTAACTAGTTCTTTTGTTTTCTTTTCACCTGTATCTCAATGCAATGCCTTCATTCTTAATCAGAAGCAGCAGAATGCAGCAAGAAATTGTGGATCTCTCTTTTTTTCACAATAGAAGGGCTCAGTTCAATCCTATCTATTCTCAACACATTGTTCCCTTTTTAAATTCAAGATGGTACCAGCCTGTGGACCTGTGAGTTAAGAAGGATAGGAAGTAAACATCACAATATCTAAAAGTTCTGCTATGGAGACAACAAGACACCTTGTCCATTTCTGTCTGCTGTTCCTACTTCAGTTACAAGATTCTTTGTGGCTCTTTACACACCCTCATCTTTCTTATCTGCCTTGTTATCCTTGGTCAAGCAGGAAAGTGAAATGAGATATAAGGTTTTATTCTTCCTACAGGAACGGATTATCCTCAAACTTCGTAACTGGCAGCAAGTATATAAGTCAATGTTTATAACTAAATGCATTTGGATTAATAATAAAAATGTATTCTAAATTCTGATGCATTCATTATATTATAAATAATCGCTTGAGTGTTTTCATGCGGATTCACCAAAAGAAAATTTCAGACTTCAAGAAATTTTTTTGTGTTTGCTTTGTGGGTTGGAAAGATTTTCTTTTCCTAATCTAGGACATACTTCAGTGAAGCATTACGGATAAATTATTCATCTTTTCTCATATTATACTTTCATAGACTCTAAAAGATTCTTAATTCATTGTGTTTACTTACTAATTATCTTAGTTTTATCATCATTCCTAATTTTATCTATAAAATGGGGTTGGGGAATCAAGCAGCACAGTCCTGGTAGAAATCAGAATGTTAGCAAGTGTGGCAACTAGTAACCAGATACAAAGAAGACAAAAAAGAGAATGACACTTTTACATACCACATACATTAACCATTCCTCTCTCAATTGGTTCAGGATCACTACCTAGGAAGTGGCTACCCTTTATCTGTGCCATTCTACTCCTCTCTGAAAGGGGTTACAAAGAAGAAGCTGATATCAGAATGTTATCAAGTGTAGTAATTAGCAACTACAGATTGAGAAGATGAAGAGGATGGCACTTATAATAGATACTGTACATACTACAAGTTCCCTGTCCACCTTGAGGACACCAGTTCCTATATTCTTAATTATATCTGGAAGATTATTCAAAGAAGGAGCTTCTCTCAGCATTTAGATTTTTATATGAGTTGATATTAATAAATTAATTTCCTTAGCATTAACTGCTATGCCGCCCTCCTATATTATTTTTATAATGGCATTTGATGGGTTTTACAGTTTTAAAAATAAAGCACAAATGCAGTAAAGTCACTAAAATAGGCATAGAAAAATACCATGCAACCTTCACCTATACAAACAAATTCTTCTCTGTCCAATATTACCTCGAGCATCAAATTGTTTTGAGATGGGACACACATATACAATACTATCTACAACATAATTTGTTATATTTCTGGAAATGTGTTATGCAATGAGCAGAAAACAGTTCTGTAAATATAATGCCAGCCAGAAATGAAACAGACTAAAGAAGGAGTGCCAAAACAAGTCAGAGGAAAAATTTTCCCCTCCATACTTTGCCAAACATATCTCTTCTTGGAACAATTATATAATATTACAGCATATAAGACATAAGCAAAGTGATCCTGAGTTTTGTGACTTGATCCTACTAATTAATCAAGCAGAATGAGATGGCCACTAGAATCTCAATGTGCAGTATGATAAATACATACTCAAATCTGGTTAGTCAAATGCACTGATAGACAACCTAAGGTTGGGTGGGTGGCATCTGAGGCAGAAGGCTGTCTCACTGGAATTGAGCCTTCAACTTTGAGATCTGAGGAATTCTTTAGATACACAGCTGCATAACTGACTGATCTAGTGAATGCCCTGCTGGTATCTGCCGGAGAATTAACAATGGAGCTACTCAGTTGATACGTTTGCACACAGTTTGGAGAACCAGAAAATCAAAGAGTGTTCTGGGAGAACTGCCACTGATGGAAGAAAAACACCTTCATTTGTTTTTCTCTATGAACCAGATTTAATAAACTTGCACAAATGGTTTGCATGGAAATAAGGAGTTACTTGCTTTGTCTTGCTTTGCTTTGCTTTGAGACAGAGTCTCACTGTGCACTTTCAGCTGGCCTGGAACTTAATAGGTAGATTATGCTAGAAGTCATGGAGATCTTTCTGCCTCTGCCTTTGCCTCTCAAGTGCTGCAATCAAAGGCAAAAGTCACCATGCCTTGATAGAAGCATTTTAAATTTGAAACATCTTCTGAGAATTGAAATTAAAACATTGATAATACACCCAAACTATTTTCTAGTTTTAGAAGCATTAAGGATCAAAATGCTTTTGCTAAGTCACATAACTGATACAAAGTCATCTCAGACTGAAGGTTAGAGCTCCTGTAATATAGAAGGATAGTACTTACCCCTGTCTGTATCATACAGGAAGACAAAACAATTCCATTCATAGTGATCCAGCAGGCTCAGGAGTGCACCTCTCAATGAAGGTCTTAGTTGCAGCACGAACTGACTCTCCCCTTCAGTGGGGAAGCTGGGTGTGATGAGAGAGATGTGTAGGGCACTGCAGAATGAGGTCAAGGTATGCACTGACCTCTTGTCATAGAGTCCAAAAATGGCAAACACTCCTCTAGAATACTGGGAACAGACTGGGGGAAAAACAGAAAGAGAGGGCCATCACCAATTGTTATACTCCAGAACTGGCCACTTGAAGTCTACAGCCTCTGAAGGTTTAAAAGAAAATCATTGAACTGTTAGCAACTCTGATAAGAAACACAAGAAAAGCGTGCATACATTGTGCAGTCAACTGTGAGTTCTTGAGTTTGTGCTGATAGTCAAGGCTTCCATGAAGCTGGTTTAAATTAAAAGTCTGCATTTAAAAAGCCAATTCAAATTAAAGAGAAAATTGATTAAAATAAACAATATATGGTCCTCTAAAACATCTCAAATCCCATGCCCCAAGCTCTTAATGAATGAGAGACACAATTTTTTTTTCTGTATTTGTTCTTGCCTGGGAACTATAATAATGTACTTTGACATTTTTTAAGTAGGAATCAATGAAACAATTGCCTGCTTCCTAAGCTGTGTGCTTGCCACATCTATTCTGTTTGATAAACAAATTGTTTCCTTTTTATTTATAACTTTACTCTGTATTAATTTCATTTTTTTGTCACAACTCTGAAGTCTGCTTGAATCATGTTTGAAAATAGAAAACTGGGGTTGAGAGATAAGCAACTGAGTGAACCAGAAGCAACTATGTAACTATAACCCTAAAATAATCACCCCAAATCCTGAGCCAGGCCTATCAAGAGAAAGAGAAAATCCTGTTTGCACTGCTGTAAAGTGAGGGAGATTGTTTATATTCTTTCTCAAATGTGTTTTGCTTACCATGACATAACTGATTTATGAAACAAACTTAGGTGACTTTTTATCATTTACACTTTAAAAGACAGAACTACAATCATCGGGAGACATTAATCCCCCCCCCCCCCCAGTAAAACAGGACTGCATTGTAGATTTTTCTCTGACTAAGGTCTCCTAGAACTAGAGTTCCAGAGGGCTGTGAGATAACTGTTGTGGGTACTGAGAAGCAAACCTGGGTCCCCTACAAGATAATCAAGTGCTCTTAACTGAGCTATCTTTCCAGTCTACATAAGTGAAAAAAAGATTATTAAAATGTTAAAAGTTCTAGAAATATATACAAAACAACTTTATCTGAATCATATAATTTCTGAGATTTTGGAATAAATCTAGAGATGTTTCTATTATTTGTATTTACTATTTTACTTAAAAATCAGGGATAAGGAATACATGTTATAACAGGATAGTATAAAAATGAGCAGAAAGTAGATGCTGTTGATTATTTTTAAAGGACACTCACAGGATATTTTTGTAAACAATATGGTTTAATAAAGGACAAAAGAATATATTTCAGTTGAAAAGTTCAAGATAGAATTGACATGGGAATATAAGGGTAACATTGCAAACCTTGTAAAAAAAAGCTCAAATTCTAATATTTCAATGCTTAGCCTTAATTATTGTTATTATTACTATTATTATATTGTCTTATTTTCAGAGATAATGAAAACATAAAATTTTTTCATGGTATAAATGATGGAAATTTAATATGGTAAAAATTCAATGAGAGCACATAAATCTACCATCCTATGAAGATGCAAAAAGCAAAAGCAGCATTTTCTAGACATCAGTTTCATTGCATAGTTATAGTTTAAATAAGTCTCTTATAGTGCAGTAAAAGTTCTAAAGATTAAAATGCCTCAGTTCATCGAAAGCTAAGACATAAGATGTTTAGATTCTATACAGCAGATACCGCTTGGATAGTTACGGTAACAGTTTGTGAAGAAATCTATCAAGGATGATCACCCATCTCTAAGTCTGTGCTCCCCAGGAGCTAAAATTACCTTGGAACATATTAACCATTCTCAAAGGCATGTTTATACAGTATGTCTGGTTATAATTTTATCAAGATGTAGAGCTGTCAGAATGAAAACATTGGTATCTTGGGTTTCCAATATTCAATTTCCATAACTCCAGTGATGCAGTAGCATCATGCTGTGGATCAGATACCAACCTCGTGGATATCCCTCCAAAAGTTTGGATGCATTTATGTGGGTGGTACAGTCCGAGCTTAACACATTTCCTTCATATGCTCTTGTTTTCTTATAAGTATTAGGTTGACTTTTAATCTTCACTTAATTAAAAAACTGAATCAATTCACTTTTTTAACCTTTTTAAATTTGCTTTTGGATTCTCACCATTGAACCAAAATTTTATACCTAGGTTAATCACATATTTAACCACTGAACTATATCCCCAGTCCATGGTTCAAATAACTTTTATTTTACTCTACTGAAAAAAGTCTTTATATTGTGGTCTAATTTACATACTGTATAATACAAGTTATCTCATTAGTGATTAACTTTAGAATTTGAGTCATCAACTGCAGCTTCCATTTTGCTACTGAACCTACTTACAGGCTGTAAAAACTGTTCAGAAAAAGGAGGAACAGTATTTTCCTCACAGTATTTCTCCAGCAACTCCAAAAGTTCCCCAGAAGGTCATATGCTGCATGAGAACCATTGGTGAGCTAGAATGTGGTACGCGATCTCTGCTGCCCTTCTATCCTACAAAAGAAAAAGAATCTAGGAACACTCCAGTTCTCATTTATGCAAAATGTTAGCTCTTGGTATAGGAAGCTAAGTACTCAACAGGTTTTAAACTGAGGCACTTCACAGAAGGCCCTCCTACCACTCACCTTGTCTGCCTGTTTCAATGCATTGCTCTGGTACTGACCACATTATTTAGCCAATTGCAGTTTATTTTACTAGGCCTCTACAAATTTAATAATGCCTTACTTCTAAACCTTTTTGTCTGCTTCTATTTTTCATCATGATACATAAACTGATTTTTATCATAGTTATAACTACCATTCTGCTTCTATTACTCTTACTTTGAAAATATACAAAATACATACTAATCAACATTTCCTTCTGGATGAATTTTATCATTCACTTTCCTTTGCAAATTCCTGTTTATAGTGTTATTCTTTTGAACATTATCCCCCTGTTTTAATTGACAGTCATGGCTTGCTAGGTGAAGGTTATTATGTCTTGAATCTGTAAAATTAGGCTGTCAGTCAAATATTCAATGTTATTTTCTTCATGTGAAACCCTGAACAATATAGAATTTGGTTGAATAGATTCAAATTTAGTAGCCTAGTCATTTGCATATTTATTATAAATTTATCTTTGGAAACACAAAATCAAAATTTGCTTGGTTATCTCTCATACCATCTGCTGTTTCTTGGCATACAAATAAGTATTCAAACAGTATATATAAAGGTATATAAATACAAAATAAATTAATACAGTTAACTAAGCTTAATAAGAATATGTTCTTAATGTAGAAAAAGAAAACCGAATTTTAGTTTTTAATATAAAATAATGAACACTAATTATTGCATAGTCACTGAATAGAGGTGGTAATATTAGATCGACAGATATTTTGGGATATAAACACTGATTAGAATGAGGTCTTCAATGAAATAATGCAATCATAATTTTAAGTGCACATTTTATATTTTTGCTTCACTAATGAGATAACTTGGATCATATATTATGTAAATTACTCCATAATATAAACACATGATAATAATCTTAAACTTTATACCTGATGGTGTGAGTGAATTAAACATGTCTTCTCATTAGGTAGTTGCAAAATTTTATTTCCCATACATATTGCAGATGATAAACTAAATCACATAATGACCTAATTTGTGATGAATTTAAGTGTTGTATCAGATACAAGTATTGTGACATCGTCTTAGCTCAATGTGTTGCAAGTTAGAAGCTGTGCATTGAATTTGACTGCCACAGTGGTATGGACCAAGTGAATGCAATGCAGTTGCTCTTCATAGTTCTTACCATTCTCTTTTATCTTTAATTTTCATTTTTAAGAGCTTTTCCTAAATGTATTTGAAAATCAACTTTATCAAGGCACAGAGCTTCTGTACTTTGTTCATCCTATGTTCTCCCTAGCTGCTCACAGCTGTGTCTTTTGGGGGCACTTTTCACATAGTCTCCAATTCACCTACTCATGCTTCATTATCTCCCAAGTCTTCATTGCTGAAAACTCACTTTACCTTCTGTTTGGTGAAATCTTCTGCTGTGTTTCGACATGTTTAGATGTGTCTTTCAAATTCTTCCCTTGTATTGATTCCTGACACCACACTTCTGGTCTTCTTTTGTTACTGGGCATGTTTGGACAGCCATTTCTTTAAATTTGCTATACCTTCACATTTTCTACCTTATACCCACTACTTTCCTCAAAACACAAATTAAGTCATTTAATTCTGGGGATTTACATGTCAAATGTTATAGTTTAAATACAAAATGCTCCCCAGAGGCTCACATGTTTGAACACTTGGTCATCAGATGGTGGTGCCATTTGGGAAGGGTGTAGTACCTTCAGGAGGTGGAGCCTTGATAGCCGAAGGGGGTTACTTGGAGGTTTTATTGTTCAGACTCACTTCCTTTTCAGATTTCTTCTAAAGTTCAAGTGTAATGTGACCCATGGTCTCCTGCTCCTAGCACTGTGTGGGCATGGACGTTTGTTGATGTAAGTGTGCTGTTCCCCTCCCTGGTATGGAGTCTTTGCTGTAAACATGGTGTATACTTTGTGCTTTTTTTTAAGTTTTTTTTTTTTATTGATATTCACTTCAGTAACTTGAATCCACAGATATAAGTGTTACAAGTAAACACAGATATAAGAGTTACAAGTAAACACAGATTATGCATGCAAAGTTCCGCTCACGAAGGTTACTTGTGCAGGTACATGAATTAGAAGCATGCTTCTAGAAATATGACCAAACTGTTTTTAAAATGCAAAAATGGAAAATCACATCTTGAAAATATAGAGATGGTTTACACAATTCAAAATTCAAATGTTGCTTATAACAGAGATGTATGACAGCTACAGGATTCAAGTGACAAGCAATAGGTTCTCAAGAAATTAATACTGTTCAAAGAGAACAGGAATATTTTTACATTTTACTAAAATAACATTCGACTACTAGAATACAAAACCTAGAAGGAGCTCAGGGAAAAAAAAACAAATCTAAAACCAATTA